AACTTTTTCAGAGTAGGTTGCATTTTCGGGAAAATACGGTATGATCAAGTTTAATTTAAAATCAACAGAACATGCTGTTTGTGATTGGAGACTGGCATGGCAAAGGCAGAAATACGAAAGAGGAAAGTATAGTTGGAAGTTATAGCTTATAGCAGTGATGGTGAGCCTTTTTCTTACGGCGTGCCAAAATCATTTGTGCACGCACTATCACACGCATAGACACACACACATGCCCACACTAATTCAATCCTCCCCGCCCAGCTGTGACCAGGGCGGCTGGGACTTTCCACTGTGGCACCAGCTACAGCATGGGGCTTGAGGCATTGGTGGAGGTGGCAATGCCAGAGGCTTTGGGGCTGAAGTAAAGGACGGAGGGTGGTGGGTTGAAACTGCTGAAGACCATAGACCAGGGGCGAAATGCTACCAATTCTGACTGGTTTGCTAGAACTGGTAGCAATAGCAATAGCAGTAGACTTATATACCGCTTCATAGGGCTTTCAGCCCTCTCTAAGCGGTTTACAGAGAGTCAGCATATTGCCCCCAACAATCTGGGTCCTCATTTTACCCACCTCGGAAGGATGGAAGGCTGAGTCAACCCTGAGCCGGTGAGATTTGAACCGCTGAACTGCTGATCTAGCAGTAGCCTGCAGTGCTGCATTTAACCACTGCGCCACCTTGGTAGCAAAAAATGCTAAGATTTGCCCAAACTGGTAGTAAAAAAAAAGCTTTAAAAAGTGGGGGGAAAGGTTCTGGGCCATTCAGTTGCACTTCCCCCACTTTTAAAAGCATTTTTAGTACCTTTTTTCTGGAACCGGTAGTGTAGAGGTTATACAAAGGTTACGTACAGACATGCACAGTAAACTGCCATGATCTCAGTAACCGATCACCTCAACTGTTTATGAGCTCACATAATTAGTGGAACCAGGCATTACCAGGAACTGTTGTGTTATGTGAGATTCTACCCTGGCTGGGATGGTCTTAGAGATTGACAAGGAGAATGTACCAATAAGATACTGTTGCTACCTATGCTCTTCCTTTGCTTGATGAAACTGTATAAAAGCCAAATAAACAGTGTCCAAATAATTTTGGACACCACCTGCTGTGATGGATTTCTGAGACCTACACGGTAGGGAAAAAATGCTTTAAAAGTGTGTGTGTGGGGGAGATTCTGATGATCACATGGTACAGCTGTGAGGCGTCCGGTCGTCCAAACCTTTTTTCCTACTTTTTAAAGCATTTTTTTCCTGCCGGTTCAGGTGAATAGGTAGAAAAAAATGCTTTAAAAAGGAAAAAAAGTTGGCCACGCCCACCAGTCTCATGACCCCTCCCCTCCACACACACCAACCCATGCCCACAGAACCAGTGGCAAAAAAATCAATTTCACCACTGCCTTAGGCCTCTAGTTCAGCCCCATCATTTCTTGGAGTTGCCATTGCCACTGGAAGGACCATTGGCCAGGAGGGCAACAATGGGGAAGACAGGGAGGTGAGGCAATTGAAGAGGAGGTGGTCTCTTGAGGATTTGGCTTGGGGGTAATAATCTGGGGAATGACTGGGATTAGAGTGGGCCCTCATCTCATGAGCTCAGAAAGGATTCACTTAAGGACAATAACAGGGACTGTTGAATTGCCGTCACTCAGAGAGAAGGTTCTGGTATGGAGAGAACACAACCAGAGCTCCTGGTTAACAAAGGAATGTGACAAAGGAGTGTGTACACTCATCCTATTTATTTAATCAATATGCAGAATATATATTTTAAGGGAAGATGAATTCGAAGAAGATGAACATGGATTTCAGATCGGAGGAAGAATCATCAGTAACCTTCACCAGCCAAAAATACAAAGGATCTGCAAATTTTAGTAATAAAAGTTAAGAAGAACAGGACAAATGGAACTAAAATTAATACAGCCTCTTTTATAAGCTTCCGTTTAGTTTTAGTTTTTAGTTTTCCTAGTTTTCCATTTAGTGACCATTCATAAATACAACAGGAATGTTTCCAACCCATGCATACATTTACAAACAAATTTCAAGAGGTTAACAACAAAAGCCTCCGGTGTGAAACTAATTAAGGTCTGGTCAGTTTCAGGCAGCCTCAAGCTGGCAGGAAGGTTCTACTCAGCTAATTAAGGTCACAGAGCTGAACTTGTTAATGTGTAGTTAGCACTTTTTAGGAAAGCGCTGAGCTGTAGACAGGAGCAGATAGCTTGTTTAAGCAATTTCTCCACTTTGCAAAGGGGCAAGAAAAGAAGGGGGGAATGGATCAGGGACAGGACACCCTATGAGAGAACTTTAGCTGAATGAGATGGAGGCAACCAATTGATGTTACAGATAAATAGAGTTGGAAGGGACCTTGTAGGTCATCTAGTCCAACTCCCAGCCCAAGCAGGAGACCCTATATACCATTTCTTACAAATGGCAGTCCAATCTCTTCTTGAAAGTTTCAAGTGATGAAGCCCCCACTACTTCCGAAGGCAACTTCTGTTCCATGGGTTAATTTTTCTCACTGCCAGAAAGTTCCTCCTTGTTTCTAGGTTGAATCTCTCCTTGTTCAGTTTCTATCCATTACTCCTTGTCTGGCTTTCAGCTGCCTTGGAAAATAGCTTGACCCCCTCCTCTCTGTGGCAGCGCCTCAGATATTGAAACATTGCTATCATGTCTCCCCTGGTTGTTCCTGAACCTTTCCTGCTGTGGCCCGATCCCTCTGGAAGACTCTGCCAGGGGAGAACTACCCTTTAATCTGAAAGTGTCTTTAAAATGTTGGTGCCACTTGGCTTGGGGTCGTGAGAGGAGTGCTCGCTGCTGAATGTGGTTGATGGAGTAAGAAGACCCCATCCCTGTGCCATCTGTCTTCTTTGTTCTGGTGTTGTTGTTGTTTTTGCACGATTCTAGAATTTTAATTTGCATAGCTGTAGAATTTTAATCATGTTTCTATTTATCTCTTTTTTGAAAAAAAAATCTGTAAACCTCTCAGTAACCTTATCAGGGAAATAGGCATATAAATTCAACAAATAAATAAAAAATATTACCCACTAACACTCAAAAACACCCCTCACCTATGTGCCTAATAGCCAGCAGAGGCCCCAGTGCCATTCAACCCATCCCCCCCCCTCATACACACACCCCAAATCCACCTCTGGTTCTCACATGGAGGGAGGAAGGAAGGAAGGAAGGAAGGAAGGAAGGAAGGAAGGAAGGAAGGAAGGAAGGA